AACAGCTGATCAGCTGTTTGTCGGCTCAACGCGGCAGCCATGTAAATTTAAATGAAGCGGCGATTATTTAAATCGCCGCTTCATTTTACTCTGTCGGGTAGCCTAATCTACATGCCTCTGGCGACAGAGGCATGTAGTCTAGACGTACCCTAACAAAAAATGGAGATAGAATCATGAGCTTTCGTGGGCACAATCCACTTCTTCAGATGAACGAAGCAACGGGTCCAGAGCCCATTTTTGTTAGTCTCTAAGGTGCTGCAGGATGATTTGTTGTTTGTAACCGGAAAAAAAAAAAAGTAACAGACTAACACAGCTACCCCCGAGACAACCTAACTAAATCAGCACACATCAGTGTCTCCAATAACATGGTAGAAGAGTTATAGAGTATGTGTGGTCAGTACACAGCAGCCTTTGGTTTTGCCTGGTTTGGTAGACTGGAATCTTCTTGTTCAAGGCACATAGCCTGATGCAACCTCTCTCAAACTAGGGGCTAAGACCTAGGACCAGGGTTCCCTCTGCAGGGTGTGCTACCACACAATTTAGCTGCTTACTGAGCCCCATCCAGTGTCCCATGCTGTGGATAAAGGCGGACCCCTCCACCCCAGGTCTCTGCCAATCTGACCTGGGTAAAAATTCCTTCCCAACCTCAAATATGGTGATCTGGGAAACCCTGGTCATATGAGCAAGATCCAATAGCCAGACATCCACTTGTACAGACCTACAGATGCCAACTTTCTGAACTGTCCAGGGAGCTGCTTAATCCCCAGCTGCCCCAGGACCTGCCACCTCCCATGTTGTTTCGAGGGCCCACCCTCGCTGCACCCCCATCCTCTCTCTTCACATCCAGTTTGGCCCCCTCCCATGAGTATGCCACATCCTTCCCCATCCACAGGGTCTCCAAAATACCACAAAAGAGCTGATCATAGTATGTGGGAGGAGTGGTGTGGGAGGGAGAGGTGCTGATCACTGTAGCCCACTGTCAGGCACGGGTCTCTTGTGGGGGGAGCGCCTGTGGTGCTCGGCACCCACAGAGTTGACAACTATGCACAGAGCTATGTCTAAAAAACAGAACAGTTTTTGAACTACTGTGCGATGCTGGTATGTTTCTACCACGAAAGGGGAAAACTAAATCTGGCAGGGAGTAGGGACTACAGGACAAACCACTTAGGCTGCAATACAAGACTCAAAAGCATTTGAAATGGCTCACAAATACAGTGCTGAGATTTACCATGGTAGGGCTGTGCAGAAAGCTTCTCCCCTCCTATATTCCTACCACCCACCTGCTAGGAGCACTAGATCAATGCTGGGCATCAGGACTGGCCAGTTGCAGCTTCTCCATGGAATTCTGACATGGTCAGCGCAACATTAGTGCAGATGTCCTATCCAGGCTCCCAACAGCATCAGAGCCAGAAGCACCAGATGATCATAAGGATTTAGAGACGTTACAATTCGTGGCCATCTCTGCTGAAGCAGTGTAGGCATGCATGAAAAAGCTTTGAAAAAGAGTTTGAAAAGAGAAAAGATCTCTGTCCAGATCCAATGATATGGTCCTGTTATTCAGGGCATATTAGAGATCATCCAACAAAGCGCTGGGCTTTCTGCTACAGATCAGAGATCTCTGACCCAGCTGCTGCCCTATGTGAGGAAGAGGGCAGACTGGTGCACAAGACCCAGGGACTAATGAAGAAATCTTCCAGATATTACTGCGCCAGACTGCAACCAGGTTGGTGCTCCAAGCCTACCTTGATGTGGTGAGCTATTCTGGCCCCTAAGAGATTGAGAACATCTGAAGGACATTCTACTGAGTGAGGATAGTCCAAACCATATAGGAGTGTGGTGACAGCAGGAAAAAAAAAACAAATAGAAATGGAGAAATACTCCAGCCAAGAGACCAAAACACTCTTAGAGTCAATAGCACTGGATCCCGTGAAAATGGAAATAAACCACAACAGTGCATCCTACATTCTGGCCATGGGAGATCATGCCACCAAATTCCTGGTCACCATGCTCCTCAGGGAGATCACATCCAGAGCAACCGCAGAACCTTTCCAAAGCTACTTTGTCCAGCCAACAGCTATTCCACCAAGGTGCTTTCAGATGAAGGCATGCCCTTGGACTCAAAGAACTGTTCACTCTATGGCAGCCACAAGCTGAAGAGGAGAGCCTACCACCTACAAACAAGCAAACCAGGGCTGAAGTCTGACAGAAATGCAGCAAGAGACTGGCCTTCCTACCTGCCAGAACTGATTTACATATACAATAATGCAGTGCACTCCACCCCAAAAATGCACCCCCCAATTCCTGGTGGTCAGCAGGCAGGGCCAGCAGCCAACAGACATGACATTGGGCAGCCACCTAGGGAAACCAGGGTCAAAGGGTCCCAGAACTAGCCCAGGAGCATCACCAATGCTTTCAGAAGGCAGCCTGATTGTGGTCACTAACAACCCATTACCGAGATAAGGAAAAATAGAGCTATTACATACATGTCCATGCCAGGCCCCTGGCACAGGGGGATCTCGTCCTACTCAAGCAGCAAGGCACTCCAAATTGGATCCAGCCTGGAGCCCCAAGTCATGCATCATCTGTGGGATCCGATACCCTAAAGAACCAGGATTCAAGATGTAAGCAAAGTCTGTGGATGGACTGGACCCTGGACTACCACAACATGCTCAGGCCTTGCCACTTCAAGCATGAGTCACAAAACAATGTGGGGGAAGAGATCAGACAGAGACAAAGAGAATGAATGGGCTCCTATTTGTGGGTGGATCACATTGAGAGAATCTTCACCAGAAACCCTGGACCTTGTTCCCAGCTTTGAGACAGATCAAGAGAGTGACAGAGTTACGATATCCAGGGCAGAAGCATGTAAGTCTGGCCCTGTGGAAAGGCAAGAGCAGAGCAGGAAGAGGTCAGGGAACGGAGCAATGAGGCAGAGGACTCTGCTGTTCTCAAAGGCCAAAGGGTGGAGGGGAAGGAAGGTGGTCTCTGTACCCAACTACTTTAACAGTAGTGATGATGGCCAAGCCACAGAGCATGCCTACTATCTTGTGACACATATTACATAGTGGTGGGTGTGGGGCTAAGCAGAAAGTTCCTTCCTTCTGTTCTCCCCCCTTTCTGATGATACTGTGTGCAAACTTGATGGGGATGGCAGGGGTGGGATGCCACTCCAAAAAAAGTATACAGAACTAACTCAGACAGGATTTGAGAAAATGAGCAGACAGGGACAAGCCTGGGAAAAATCCATGGAGGAAACAAAGAAAGCAGCAAGCACAGGAAGCTGAAACCCTCAGCTACAGCAGCTAGGGAGTTGTTTGGAAGAGAGCCAGCGGTTTGCGAAAGGGGATTCTTATAAATGCCTAGCCTCAAGCTGACAGAGCAGCTTACACCACATGACAGGACACCATTCTGAGTTCACATCACATCCCAGCATCAGAATGCACAGACAGGTTATAACAACCCAAGGAGGAGGAGGGGGATTCATTGGTGTAGAGCAGAGATCTTGTGTGTGCAGTCACGCATGGGTGTGGGGGAAGGGAAAATGGGGTGATGTATGCAGTGTCAGAGACAAGGGAGTTTGTATAAACTCTGCTAGAGATCCTCAAATGGGTCTATTCCTAGGATAACCATCAAAACAAAACAATTCTGTGTAAGTGAGGTGGTTGTTCCACAGGTTAACTCTAACTCCCCTCCTCCCCAGAAGGCAGGACCTAAGATTTCTCCCTCTTAACCCTAGAAGATCCCCAACTGAAACCTGACATGCTGTTAATTATCCTCCCAGTTTAATTTCACAATTCCATGGTAATACAGTTTTTCATATAACAAGAATATGACCTGCTTCTCGACTTCCTGGCTGCAGACTTTCTGGGAAATTCAGCATAAAGAGATGCAATCTACTGCAACAGGCATATACAAACAGCTAAGCCCTGTACAAATGCATACTTGTAAACTCTTCACTACATTCATGTTTCAAAGAGAAAATTTGTGAACATGTTTGGCAAAGTGAATGAGAAGCATAGTTAAGTTTGAGCTTATTAGAAGCATTTGAACCACCACAATAGGCTATAGCTATTTATTGAAAATGTTTTATCTGATGATAGTTTCTCTTGCTCTCCTTAGATTTCATCATGGATGTCCAAGTCACTGTTTTTCCTGGCAGCCTTGGTCTCCTCCTACCATCAGGAATGAGAAGGTCACCGTTATGAGCCTCTTTTGATCCCTCCCCTTGAAAGGCACCAATCAGGAGAGGGAAAAAATCAGAGCCGTACGATGCCTTACAATCAGCCACAAGTGCTTCTAGACAAGAGGCCCTAAGGCTTGCTATAAGGGGTGTTCTGTGAAATGCATACACAAAGTAGCCTCATTTACTTACTGCAGATGTAAGTGAGGATGGGGAACACACACACACAGCCACAGCCCTTAGTTAGTTTGGGAATCAGTCTGCTAGGAGAAACTGTAGAGAGCTGCATGTCTCCAGAGCCTTATAGAGTCCCCTTAATATGCATTATGATTAAATTCTGTCCTTTTTCTGACACTACAACTACTACTTATATAACCAGGACACTGAACATTTCCTAGGACAGGGGTGGGCAATCATTTTTGGGGCAAGGAGGCATTTAATTTTTTGAAAAGGTTGCAGGCTACCCTGGAAGGGGTGGAGCTTTTAAATAGCAGGAGTTGAAAGGGCTCCTGCCTCCCCTGCAGCTCCCAGGCATCACATTAGCTGGAAATGGGAGCTGTGAGCCCTTCCAATTCCTGCTATTTAAAGGGCTCACTGCTCCCGTTCTTGCTGGTAGAGCACTGCCTGGGAGTTGGGGACATGCAAGCCCTTTCAACTGCTTCTATTTAAAGGGCTTGCACTTTCCCCATGGCTGCCAGGCAACACATTGCCTGACAGGTGTGGGGCAGGCAGGAGCCCTTTAAATAGAAGCAGTTGAAAGGACTCGCACAGCTCCGGCTCCCAGGCAGCGTGCTGGGGACTGGGCCTGGAACAACCCCACAAGCCAGATCAAAGCCCTGCACGTGCAAGATTGGCCCACTGAGTGGCTAGGACCTGTATCATCTCTCATCACATGCTCACCCTTCCCCACCATTTTTCCCCCTCAGGTCCATGAACACTACTAATTTCCTCAACCTCCCACAAACTGTCACCTCAGGTGCAAACTCTTAAGTTCCATCTGTACTATACAGTTACAATATCCACACAGCTTCGCACTGTACCCTCCTCTGCACCACTTGTCCCACCCCCCAGCCAAACACTTCTGTTTCAATGCATTTTTCCTCCAGTCAAAGGAAAAGTGTATCTATCCTTTCAACTGCCACATATTGGCCAGCTTTGACCTCCCTTTTGTCTCTTCCCTTCCCTCCCCTCCTCACATTCTAGTTTGTTCCCCTTCCTCCCACTTCTCTCCTCTCCCCTGTTCAGCATTCTTCTGCTGGTTCAGCGCAGTGCTTCCTTCTCACCCCCTCAAACTTCTCTGCCTCAGACACCCACTGCCCTGCTTCAGGTGTGAAAATAAAGCTCTCACATTTTCCTTTCTCTAAAGCAGGGACAGTATTTCTCAGCAGCAATCTGAACTGAGAGTTCTATGCAGCTTGCAACCATGTCCCTCACAACAGAAGTTGGTCCAATAAACGATACTATATCATTTGCCTTGTTTCTCTAATACCCTGAGACCAACATGCATAATAGAAGGAAATGACAGTACTACACCCTTTCCCACTATCCTGTAGCAGTTTAGTCCAATAGAAAGTTCTGAGTACACAGAAAGGACCACTCTTGAGACTGATCTCTCATCAGGGCTGTCTGCACCCACTCCCAGCCCTGACAAGTCTAGGTCACTGTCATCAGTGGAATCTGCCAGTGGAGGATAAGCGTGGCAAAATTCTATTCCATCGCGCTTCTTCCCTTTCCCCTGTGATATAACCCCAGTGCCAGGGATTCAAGAGCAGCTGGCATAGGACTCAAGTGTGTCAGCTTTCTGCCAGCATGGAGTTCTTCTGCACCAGGGAAATTCTCTGCTGGCCACCACAAACTCATCTCCTTTTGCCACTGGCTAGGTCTCGTTTGAGAATCTAGTCCAAAGGATCCGAGAAAAAGAATTACAACAGGATTGTGATAGCATGCAAAGTAATCTATGTGGGCTGCCTTTGAAGAGTCTTCGGAAGCTTCAACTGGTCCAGAATGTGTCTAACACCCATTATACAGAGCACATTATGCTGGTGCTCTGGCAGCTGCACTGGCTTCCGGCATGATTCTGAACACAGTCAAGGTCTTGGTTATGACATTTAAAGCCCCAAATGGGTTGGGACCGGGATATCTGAAGGACTGTCTCCTCCTATAGGAGCCTGCCTGGGGATTGAGGTCAGCTGGGGAGGCTCTGCTGTGTTCCTCCACTTATGGAGATAAGATTAATATCTATGCCAAGCAGGGCCTTCTCAGCTTTTGCTCCCAAGCTATGGAATTCTCTCCCCCAGGACATTCACCTGGCGCCAAAACTGTCATTGTTTCGGCACTGGGCTAAAGTCACCCTTTTTACCCTGTGCTTTTATTGGGAGGGGGGGAGGTGTCCCTCCCCTTGGTATCTTAGTAGGTTTTATGTCCCCCCATTTGGGGTCTCATTATTTTATAATATTACATATTTGTTTAAAATTCTGTAAACCCCTTTGAATATTTTAAATAGAGAGAGGCAGGGTAAAAATATTTTACATCAATAAATAAATACTCTGTATTGATGTTCAAGCCACACACCGTGTTTTGGATGCTGTCCCTTGAGCAAGAGATGGAATGGCATGTTGAACTCTGTCAGGGCTAGAGATATAAAAGGTTAACAGATTAACTGGTAAGCATGCCCCTTACTGGCATGCTTACCTGGGTAACCAGTTAACTAGCAGGGACCCAGCCAGAGCAGCCCCCTGCCTGTGGCATGGGTGCAGCAGGCTCAGCCTGGCCCATCCAGAGCAGCCTCACCCAGCCACACAAGCCAAGTCTGCTGCACCATGGGTGGGGGATTCCTCCAGGGGCTGGGCCCAACCAGACCAGCCCCCTATCAGTTATCCGGGTAAACATGCTGGTAAGGGACATAATCTGTTAACCTTGCATTTCTCAAACTGTGGGTCCCAACCCCCAGGGGGTCACAAGCAACTTAGGGGGGGGCTCATGGAATCATAAAGTTAAAGAACCCCTGCGTTAACCTTTTACATTCCCTACTTGTTACTATGCAATGTCAGATGACTTCTAGCCTCCACCCAAGACAGGCTTGCATTTCATTGGTGTTATATGTATGTAGTTAATCAAGAATTTTGGAACCTTTTAGAATAAATACTTTAAATCTTTCTTTAAAATGTGTATTATAAAATGTCCAAAAATAAAGTTTACTATTTAAGGATTGAAAGACAGACCCATTTTACAAAATGCAGGGGGAAAAAAGTACTTTACTTTTGCTTTTCAGTATCTAAACTGCTCCCAGAAATCCAACTCCCCCTGAATTTAATGGAAGTTAGGTCAGACGCTTATGTACTTTCTACAGCATCACTATCAAAGATGTTTTGGATAAAGAGTCGAGACATTAAAGAACACTAATTTTAAAATAGTGTTGACATAAGCTCTTTTAAGAACACAAAAATACAAGTTGGACAAATTTAAAATTAAATTTGTTTAGATGTGTTGACTCTTCAAGTTTCCATCCAGATTTACAGGGAAACAGTGTTTTAAAAAAACCACCACACACCACCAATCAAACACCACTCTTAACTACTAACCTCTTTTATTTTATCTAAAAACAAATTACTACAAAGCAGTGAAATTGAGAGATATAGGTATCAAAACATGATCCATTTATCAAACACAGCTCACTAAGGGTGTGTCTAAACTACATGGCTCCATCGACGGAGCCATGTAGATTAGGCAGGACCCCAAAGGGAAATGAAGTGGCCATTTAAATAATCACCGCTTCATTTAAATCAAAATGGCCACCATGCTGTGCCGATCAACTGATTGTCGGCACAGCGCGGCAGTCTAGATGGGAATCTGCCGACCCCAGAACCCTTCGTTCACGAGGCATAAAGGCTCTGCCGACGAAGGGTTCTGGGGTCAGCAGATCCCCGTCTAGACTGCTGCGCTGTGCTGACAGTCAGCTGATCGGCACAGAGCTCTGCCGACAAAGGATTCTGGGGTCGGCAGATTCCCATCTAGACTGCCGCGCTGTGCCAACAATCAGCTGATCGGCACAGCATGGCAGCCATTTTTATTTAAATGAAGCGGCGATTATTTAAATTGCCACTTCATTTCCCCTTTGCCAAGAAAACTAATCTACATGGCTCCGTTTAGACATACCCTAAGGGTATGTCTACACTGCATGGCTATTTAGGGATACCAAAAGGTATCCCAAAATAGCTACCCCTTGTCTACACAATCCACCCGTTTGTTCGAAATATTTTTCATACTAACAGGTGTGCTATTTTGCCATCCCGGTAAACCTCGAGGGTTAAGGGATGCACGAGGGTTAAGGGATGGCTCGAAATAGCACATTATTTTGAAATGTGGCTCTGTGTAGACATGCCAAATTTCAAAATAGATTCAAGATAAGATACACAATTTGCATAGCACAAATTGCATATCTTATTTTAAATTTAAGGTGCTGTGTAGATGCACTCTAACTTCAACCTTATGACCCTTACTCGTTTACATCTTTGATTCAGAGTTATGGTCTGTGGGGTAAACAGGTCCTAGCCTGAGAGAACCAAGCAAGAGTCATTCTCTCAGATCAAGGCAGAGAAGCAGATGCTATGGTCAAGGCATTAGACTGGGATTACATCTAGTTTCAATTTCACCTTAGACCTCTGTGCTATCTTGCAAAGTCAGTTAATCTCTCTGTGTGCCCATCTGTAAAACACAATACTACTTTCCTAAATAACAGGTGTTATAGGAATACATTTATTAATATATGGAAGGCACTGAGATACCACAGGTTTGGTAACAATACAAGAACTTGTAAAAATAGCTACTAACAGCCACATAAACCACATCACTCTGATACAGATGAGGCTGGCTTTGCAGTTTATATCCCAACTTACCAGGGGAGAAACCAAACCATCCTCTCAAGGCCTGCTCCCAGGAACCATGTGTGTAAAAAACAGAATTATCATCATCTCCCCTTTTAGTCTCAATGACAGAAAGCAAGCTGGGACCAGTAGAACTTGTCTTGGACAGTGGTGGATTAAGGACCCAGCCCAGAGGTGGACAAAAGGGCCTCCACGAGCCAGATCTGGCCCGCCAAGCAGGTGGATCCAGCCCATGGAGGCCAATTAGGGCCTGGGGGTGGGGTAGTGTGCAAAGTTTCCTCTGCCCTGCCAGGAGCACGTAGCACTTGGAAGCACCAGGTGCTCCTGACAGGGCTGCAGGAGACTTCATGTGTTCCCCAGCCACCAGGCCAAGCGGAGAAGTTTCCCCCACTCTGTCCCTACCCTGCGAGCAGCACGCGGCACTTAAAAGCACCATGCGCTCCTGGCAGGGTGGGAGGAAGCTTTGTGAACTCCCACGCCCCATGCGCTTCTGGCAGGGTGGGAGGAAGCTCTGTGAACTCCCAAGCTCCCAGGCCAATCAAGGCCTGGGGGCAGAGGAGTGCGAACTCCCACGCCCCCAGGCCAATCAAGGCCTGGGGGCAGAGGAGTGCGCAGTTTCCTCCACCCTATGAGGCGCATGCAACACTTACAAGTGCCACACACTCCCTGACAGGGCAGAAGACTCTGCACTCTCCCCAGCCCCTGATTGGCATGAAGCCTCTTCCCACCCTGGCAGGAGTGCATTGCACTTTTAAGCACCAGGCAGGGCAGGGACAGAGCAGAGGACACTTTGCACACTCCTCTGCCCCCAGACCCTGAATGGCCTGGGAGCAGAGGAGCGTGTGGGAAGTCTCCTCCCAGCCAGGGGCATGGGCACCTACAGGGAAGGAGAGGCGGGGGTCCAGGCCAATCATGGTCTGGGGGTGGGGAACCTGAAAGTATCCCGGCCCTATCCCTTTCACACCAGGTCCCACCCCTTGCAGCCCGGGGCCACTTCAGAAATTTCAAAAAGTGATTGCCCACCTCTGACCCAGCCACTAGGATGGCAGCTGAAGGAAACCAAGGCTATCCTCTCATGCCATCTGTAACATAGTATGTAACATTAATAGACTATGGCTTAGGATAGTACTGTACTGAGGTTTTAGCTGGGTTCTGCAGATGATTATGGTCACATTCTAAACTACGAACTGCAAACTCACTGTCACTAGGGCTTGATTGGATTTAGAGTTGTGACACACACACAAAAATGCAGGGGCCTGAGCAGCTGTCTCCTTTGATTACCCGCCCTCAGAGCAATGAATATTGATCATAGGACTCTGTAAAGCACACTGAGCAGCCCACTCAAATAGTATCAGATAGTCCTGTTGTTAAGGCTGAGACTAAGATCTCTTTTCAGGCTCTGCCACACCTATCACAGGGATCACAAATCTTTGTGCCTCAGTTCCCCATCTGTAACATTAAGATAATAATACTTGTATACTTCACCAGGGTGATGCAGTGAAAAGCTGGTTAATTTGCTCAGATAGGGACCATAAATTACTTTTATATAAAATAATAAACAGCTATCACTGGTGACTAAACTGCCATTTGGACTCCTAAAGGTGATCTCCCCACCTCAAAAAAAACACTGAACAAGGTACCCCCTGCTCAGACTGACACGTCAAAGGAGGCGCAAGGACAAGCCCCTGCTAGTCGGATGAGGAGAGAGATGCGGTGACCTGAGCTATGTGCTCTCCCCTCCCCCAGCGGCATGATCTCATTTGACAGGAAGTATCTTGCTGCCCCCTCCTCCACCCGCTCGGGCGCGCCTCTCCCACATGGATCCGGAGAGGGAGACAGAGCGGAGACGTGACACTGACTCAGCCCGCGTCGGGACTTACCCAAGGGCTGCGCCGGGAACACGCTGCTGGGGCTTGTGCACACGCAGAGCTGACACGCTCTCCACGCCGCTGGGCAGCCCACCCCCTCACACACCTTTGCAGCGGATTGGCCGCGGCCAGCTCCGGACTCCCCCTGCGCCGAGCTGCTGGAACCGCCAGCTGAATGGGCAGCTGCGAACAAAAGGGGAAAATCAAGGCAGCGGCCAGAGAGCGCCTGGGGTGAAGGCTCTTGTCAACAGCTGCAGCAGCAGCAGCATCAGGGCAGCTCCCAGCCACCGCGCCGCCCCGCAGGACCATGCTGAATTTCGCAGCTCCTCTCTCCCAGCCAGCTGTAAGTGCAGCGCTTCCTAGTCCGGGGGGCTGAATCCCAGCGAGCCCTCCCCGCATCAGCTTCCCCGGGGAGAAGTGGATGCGGGTCGCGAGGCGGGGCACGAGAAGGGGCTCAGCCCGAGGAGGGTGGAGAGGGATGTTGTGGGGGGTGATGTCTGTGGCCCAGAGAAGAAGGGGTTCCCTTTGGGGAGGGGCTGCTGGGAATCCTGTGGTCACAGAGGGGATGGCAGAGGAGGCAGCGATCCGGGGCTGAGGTTACTGTACTGGGAGTTTGCGTGGATCTGGCGAGAGAATCGGGGTCTTGGGGAGGGGATTGGGGAGCTTGTGGCGCGCTGCGGAGAGGGATGGCGCGGGGGGGGGAAGCTGGGGGAGGTTATGGGGGAGTCTGATCCGCAAAGGGGGAGGAA